AGTACGCACACACACACACACACACACACACACACACACACACACACACACACACACACACACACACACACACACACACACACACACACACACACACACCCTCACCTCAAGCGTAAATCAGTCAATATTCTCCTTACAAGTGTTGTGAAAATTCACATACTGTACCATGTTTGACATCCTCGAGTGATTCAAGGCCGCTGTTATGTACCGTTCTGCCAACAGGAAGGTGAGAGCACACACTGAGGCTGCTGCTCTCAATGTGACGTTGTGTAACATGCTGTGGGTCTGTGTGTGTACCAGCAACAAAAAGACACGTTATGCAGTTAAAAGCGGGGATAAAGTGAACACAAAGCAGTAAACACGCCGAGGAGACTGAGATGGAGTGAGTGGGTGAGCGGCTGTGAGTTGAATGAGGAATGTGCCGACACACAGGCAGAAAGGCTTCAGAGAAAAAACACAGGTTCAAAAGTAACACAAACAAATTGTGCTCACTTTGAATAGCCTCTCCTGCTGCACTACGGCATAAAAGCACATCTTCTTGCTTGCAGTCAGATAAATGCTCTAATAAAGCTATTTGATGAATGTGTTACGTGTTGCAGATGGTGGATGAAGTAGGTTTTAAGCAAAGTGGAAACATCAAAACAGAGACATCAGACTCTCAACGAATGCTGCGGTTTGACATTTGTGGGAGCAGGTGAGTCAGAAGAAACAAGTCTGCTCTGCAATGTCTGAAAGAGAAACATAAATCAATAATAGCAGGTACTGTAGTTGCCATCAAATCTTTTCATCTTCAAATCTTTAATAATATGCACTTAATTTGTTAAAATATTAAACTCTGTAATATATACTGTAACTAAGTAACTTCACTTCCCAGCATTAGTTCCAGTCAGTAGTGGAGGAAGTAACCCAGATTTGAAAACTTAGTGAAAGTAGCAATACTTAAAGGGGCCCTGTTATTCTTTCTGGGGTTTTGCAAAAAGTGAGAATGTTCCTTGGGCGTAATGGCCAATTTTAAAATCACTTATATGAAATTACTGGATTAAGATTATCGATGCATTAATCGCAGCTGGTAAAAGTGGAGCTAATAAAACTGCTTTGTATACTGCTAATGGATGTTTTGACCCCAAGATTATATATAAATATGTATTTGTTGATTTATATTTTGCATAAATTAGTCATCTGAATTTGTAAAGTAACTAAAGCTCGTCATAAATCGTCTTTATTTATATAGCACTTTTGCTACACAAAAGGTAACACCAAGTGTTTAACAAGCCTTTAACACAAAACTTAAATAAAAACAATACAACCCCATAAACAGTACATGTAGCGCAGTAAAAAGTACAATATTGGCTTATAGAATGTAATGGAGTAGTAGTATGACGTAACTAAAATACTCAGGTAAAGTACAAGTACCTGAGAATTGTACTTGAGTACAATACTTAGTAAATGTTCTTCCCTACATTCCACCCGTGCTTCCTGCTCTCACTGGATGCACAGGTTCATGCTGGGAATCCTGTTAAAAGGTCAAAGGTTGTGACCTGATTTTTGAAAGGTCAGCACGACTATCCCAGCCCTCTCTTATTTCAGCTAACGGCTCTCTCTAATGTCACTGCTGTCAGTGTGCGAGCTTCACTGAAACTGAAATGACAGACGAGGACTTTAATGTTCTCAGAGGGCACATGCAGGTCGCCTCTCTGCATCCATATTAGTAACAACTCTGCAACCGGATCCAAAATGGAAACCATCCCTACTAAAGAGACTGTAATGTTGTGACAAAATCAGACTGCTAAAATCTTTTTATAGCTTCTGCTGAACCACCGACTTCAATGTAGGCCGACATATTGTATATGCTTGTAAGCAGGCTTGGGGAGTAATGGATTACATGTAACGGGATTACATAATCAGGATACCAAAAAATGTAACTGTATTCCCTTACAGTTACATTAATCAATCAATGTTTATTTATATAGCCCAATATCACAAATTTTACATTTGTCTCAGTGGACTTCACAGTTTGTAAAGAATATCAGTATGCCAATACGACACCCTCTGTCCTTAGACCCTCACATCGTACAAGGAAAAACTTCCGGAGAAAACCCACAGTTTAAAGGGGAACATGGGAGAAACCTCAGGGAGAGCAACAGAGGAGGAATCCCTCTCCCACGACGGACAGACGTGCAATAGATGCCGTGTGTAAATCGAAGAGATAATACATTTTACAGCGTACAGTAGGTAGACCTAATGTTTGGAAATGCATGTGTCTATAATAAGAAGATGAATCCACGAGTATGTCAACAATCCTGTGGGAGCCATCAGGGAAGTAGTATGATGAGAGTCAGGCAGGACCGCAGCAACGGGTTCAGCCACGACTCGAAGTCCAGGACTCAAATCCAGAACTCAGGATAAAGGATCTAGGACACAGGATCCAGGACTCAGGACTAAGGATCCAGCACTCCGGATCCAGGACTCAGGATTCAGGATCCAGGACTCAGGATTCAGGATCCAGGACTCAGCAACAGGACCACGACTCAGGACCTCGACTCAGGATCCCGGCGTAGATAGACACCAAAAAGAAATTTGGGGGAAGCTGGGTTATTCGGAACATGAGAGTACACTGGTACAGACAGACAGAAGGAAGAAGTAAAGTGTCCCCCGACAGTCTAAGCCTATAGCAGCTAAACTAACGTGTCTACGTACATGGACTCCCTTAGGATAGGTTGAGGGAAAGAGGTAGCAAGTAAGAAGTAAGGAACAGAGGTGGAGAGGCACAACGTGTCTACAGTACGTACATGCACTCCCTTAAGATAGGGTGAGGGAAAAGAGTGGGAACTAAGATGTTTTCGCCACGTCTATACCATGAGCGCATTGCTCCTAAAAAGTGTTTCTGGCACTGACACCAGTCAACAGTTGTGCGTCGACTCGGCAGGGATAAAAAAAAAAAAACATTAAAAAAAGATGTAATCAGACTAAACATAAAATCTCTGAGCAGAGGACACATTTCTGATACTCAACATCTTGGTTTCTTCTTTACTAAGTTCACATTGTTATCTTGTCTTACAAAATACACTTAATAAAAAAAGCACCTTATTTATGTCTGAGATGTAGAGGAGTAAAGGTATAAACGATGCCAATATTTAACTTAAGTACTTGAGAAAATGTACCAAGTAATATTCCACACTGCTTTCCCCACACATCTAGGGGTGAGACATTACTCATTATTTTCTTCCGTCACCAGGGGGTCGAGGGTTGTTTGTTTTTCAGCGTCAGCCTTGGCAACACGCAGCTTTCTGTGAATCACATTAAATACCAGCTTTAAGAAATTCACAAAAAGCAGCTTTTGTTCAGACTTGATGATTCACCTCCATGGTCTTCCTTATTTGAAAGTGTAGTTTTGTGATGTTCAACAGTCATTGTGTGAATGATGTGTGTGTGTGTGTGTGTGTGTGTGTGTGTGTGTGTGTGTGTGTGTGGTGCAGTGTGAAGGTGTGTGTGTGTGTGTGTGTGTGTGTGTGTGTGTGTGTGTGTGTGTGTGTGTGTGTGTGTGTGTGTGTGTGTGTGTGCATACTTAATTTTCTTTTTTTTCTTCTAAAATACAATGTTTTCTTTTATCAATATGCTAAATGTTTTAAATGATAAAAGTTACTTATCAAGCCATACAAGGCAACGCTGCTAATATTGATAATGATTTATCAAAAGTAGTTAAAAAACAACTATTGTTCTTTGTAATTACATTTTTTTGACAAATTGTAAAGCACTTACGCATCACTGTACACTGTAAACCAAGGCGGTTTTGCCATCACTTACTGTACGGAGGCTCAGTCACTGGTACATTTTCATTTACAAAGCCATGTTGGATAAAGTACCATCTTATATCTGCTCCCTGATCTCTCTGCAAGTTGAAAGTAGATTGCCTGAGATCGCATGCTGTGGTTTTATTAAATGTGCCAAGTGCTAGGACTGTCATAGGGAAGAAAGCTTTTAGATGTGCAGCTCCACTAACTTGGAACAGTCTGCAAAAAGAATGGAAAATTACCAATCTGGTACCTACATGTTTTTAAAGCTCGGTTGGATGCTACACAATCAGATGCTGTTGGTACCTGTACATGTGGATAGATATGTCAATTGTAATCCCTGTAATTGTTGCTGTATGATGTTGTTCTGTTGTTTATGTTTTTATGTCTTCATGTGGAACCTACTGCTACAGGTCTCCCTTGAAAAAGAGATCATTGATCTCAATGGGATTTCACCTGGATAAATAAAGGTTTTGAATTTAATTGAATTGAAAGAAAATGCAAAATAAATTTTAAAAAAAATGGAAAAAAATCCTTTTTTATTCAAAAAATGTGAAGAATTAAAATAATTAGTAAATAAACTAATCCTCCTTCTTTGTTAGTTGTTATGACAATACACTACTGTATCACAGATGTTTATGATTTTTACACTATGTAATTCCTCCTCCTCTGTGCTCCAGCTGAGCAGAGGCAGATTCTAGCTGCAGATGAACGAATGAGAGAGTTTAACGAGGAGAAGAGGACCCGGCACGAGAACTTCGCTGAAGAGGAGGATGATGGTAGGTCTGGAGAAGCGTGAGTTCTTTCACTCCAGCAGCTCATTCATCCACTAACATCCTCCATATCTTCCCAGAACAAAATGAGAGGAGCCGAGAGAGCACGGAGCAGTGGAGTGAGTTTCACTACGACGGGATGCATCCTCCTCAGGAGTACAACCGCCAGTCCATCTGAGGCCCAGGGCTGAAGAGAGGAGAGATGTGAGCTTTTAGAGAAACAACTTAAAAAACACAATGAGACTTTTCTCCTCTGACACTGACGGTTGAGATAACAGCTTGTTGTTTTCACCCTTTTCAAGGTTCAAGGTTCTTTATTAGTCATACGAACATAGCTTCAGAGTAGTTATGCCGATGAAATTCTTAAGTCAACAGTGCAACACAATAATACAGAAAAACAGAAAAATATAGTGCAAGTAAATATTAAATATTAAAAGTAACTGCAAAAATAAAGGAATAGTTAACAAAAAAAAAGTGAAATAGTGAAATAAGAGTCTATATGCAAGCTATTTGAATGATATATTAAATACTATAGTTAAATGATTACTAAGTAGCAGAAGTTATGGATGTTGTTACAGCAGTTCAGGTGTTTAACAGCCTTATCGCCTGTGGGATGAAACCGTCTCTGGATCTGTTGGTTTTAGTCAGGATTTTGTTGTTGATGCTAGCTTTACATCCTCATTGTTTAGTATTCCCACAGACTCTCATAAGGTATGTGTAAAAGTAATAATAACGCAAATAATTATTGCATTGTTTTTTGTCTTTTCTTTTCAACTTTTTAATTAAAAAAGCAAATATGTAGGTATTGAAGCACCTTTCTCATTTCCACAAACTGGCCTTACATATTTAACGAAGGAGACACGGTACAGAAATAACCATTAAACTGAGTTAATGCAGAGAGAATATATGATGTTTTATATTGAATGGGCTGTGGATAATTTTCAAAAGAAAAGCCATAAAGTTTTGAAATAATGTTAAGTATGTTTAAATAATGGAGGGCCTGGGTTAATAGATGTGCAATGATTTCATGCTACATTACCAGAAGATTAATGCGTGTGAATAAACTGTATTTACTCGTATATATTGTACTAACCATATACTGTAATTACTATATATAATCCATTGTGCTGACAGTTAAATCTTTTAACGTAGTAGTTTTGATGTATTGATCTATAATCTTACTGTAAGAAATATGTACAAACTAACTAACCTGATATTTACTCTCAAAGAATCAACAACCCATGCAGAACAGTCTCTTTTTTTAATACATGAATCTACAACTCTAAAGCACATTTCTGCCACAATACGTAATACATGCAAACCGAGGGGCTCTCAATGCTTCATAACTTTTGCTTTCTGTTGATGTTTCTTTTTGGAGAACAAATATATAGGGAAGACAAAAATAAAACACTCAAGACCAAAGCTAACTGTTGTTGAGATTTTGTATTTACAGTAAGTAGAAGTCAATATTCACCACAACATTTTGAGATAATTTAATATGGAAAAGCCCTGGATATTGGGCATATTCTGGTGGAGTGTTGTTTTTACATCGTTCATGTTGAATGATTTAAAAATTAAATAGATGTGGCACAGAGAAAATACAAAGACAGATCCCGTCTCCTCTCCGTGTGAAAGTCTCCAGAGAGCGACGGGAGAAAGAAGGAGGGAGAAAGAGTGTTTCTGCTAAATTCAACAGGCTGGTATGAAAGCACAGTGATTAAACACAGAGAGAAGGAGATGTTTTCAGACCAGCCTCCTCTTGAGCGCAAGCAGGTAGCAATATATTACACCTACTGATCTGTACACTACTAGACGATTTGACGGTTCTGCGATGAGATACGTTTGCATTCATTTGTCATTTTTGCACTGATAAACACTTTCTTTAAATCCAAATATACTTTCTTAAAGGGGAAAACAATCCATTCAGTTACATTATACTGTCAATAATTATGGATTTAAAGAAATATAAAACATCTGTCATACTCTCCCAATGGCACATTAGAATAATATGCAGTATGTGGAGGTTTTTACTTTTCAACGTCCTCATCTGCAGTGAGAGGGTTTGGTTGGCTTAATGTCGAGCACATCCCTGAGAGCTGGTCACACAGAAACAACACGAGGTCGCCCTCCTGTGGTCGAGGAGGACTTCGCAGTCAAAACATGACAGAAACTATAAACTAACAACTATATTAGATACTGTGTTTTTTATCATTCAATTCAATAGCGTTTCAGTCCAGTCTAATACCACGGTACTTACAAAAAAGTCAGAATATGTTGTAAGAAAATAAATAATCCAATACATTAGTGCAATGCACCGGCCCTCTCAGCGATCACAGCCGTGAGTGAAGCACGCCGTCCTGTCCAAACACTTTCAAGCCACACACACACACACACACACACACACACACACACACACACACACACACACACACACACACACAGTTTGGAGCCATTGTAGCAAATACCATCACACATTAACCAAAGCTGTCAACACCACAAGAAAAAAGTTCAGAGTGCAGATGATGTCACGATTATTTACCACAGTTATATTTCACTTGCATAACATGACTCCACTCAACATTTCCACGCAGGATATTTACACAAGGCATACAGAGGAGCGTCCTTCTCTCAAGACGCTCGCAGTCAAAACTGATAGCAGCTTCAATAAAGAGTTCCCTTTAGTGTGGCACTTCCCCAGCTGCTTTTTCACCTGCCAGACAACCGTGATCCTGAACGCAGCTTCCTCAAAAACAACTTCTGGTGAGCATCTTCCCCTCTGTACCTCCAGGTCTGTATGACAGAGGGAAGGGGAGCAGCAGCGGTGTCGTGCTGAGCCGTGGTAAATGGAGCCAACGCTCCTCAAATTCCCCCCTGGTTGGCAGAATCAGATGGGAGGTTGCGGGATGAGCAAACTGGGCGAGGACATTGAGGCCTGGGATGGTCGTTTCCCGTCTCAAAGCTCTGTGGTCTCCCAGCTCACCTCCCGCGGCACCTGGCGTCATTTAGTCCCAGTGTGGATGACCGTGACGGTGGAAGGTCGGGGTCGAGAGGCCTCGGCCACCGCGGAGGGCTCCTCTCGGATAGGGGTCGGGGCTTCAGAGTCCTGATTGTACACTTTAACTGTGGAGGGCAGAGGTGCTATCGGAGGACCTGTGGGAGAAAATATAGTTTCAGTAAAGTGTTGCAAGTCATTAACTAAGTTTTGTTTGACAGGCAGGGAAAATAAAGGCTAAAGGATAGGTCTGGAAATGTTCTATGATTTGATTATTACATATGACGTCAGTATGCTGCTTGAAAAAATAAGTTTAATCAGGAATATTTCAGTTATTGATCTTGAAAACATTCCTCAGTAGAAGGAGTAGAGTCTAAAATATCCTGGAATCCCTAAAGTAAGTATCTATCTATCTATCTATCTATCCATCGTGAGCAATAAACAGAAATGTATTCTTCTTATAAATAAATCTTACGTTACATCAAATGTCTCGTGTCAAATACGTTTAGTCTGTTTAATTAAAAACTCATAAACAGTATCCAATCTCCCAGTGTTGAGGTTAGCAGAGTGAACAGAGGCCAGCTGACAGCGGCTCTAAACTTGGACACGTTTGAGTCTACGGAGAAGCTGAAGTGTCACTCACAGTCCTTCAGGGACGGCGGGTCGCAGTCCACAGACTGGCTCTTGGCTGGAGCGCGGCTCTGCGGGTTGGAGTTGGCGTTGTGGATGCTGCTGCCGCCGAAGCTGGTGCCCAGCTGCAGGCGCCGCATGTGGCGGATCACAGCCGTCGCATTAAAGGCTTGCTGTGAAGAGAGGATGTAAACAGACATATGTAAACCAAGTACAGACAAATCATTGGCTATTCGCAAAGATAGAACATATTCTGTTTTTAGTAACATCTGATAAGTCTTGAGTGCTCACCCTCCATTTGCTTTTGGCAAAGTTTTTCCGCATCTGTCGACTGACTGACTCGTGTATGTTCTTGCAGAGAGCAGTGTCTCCAGCAATCCTGGAAATATAAGTCAAGTCCTTTAATATCATGTACATGTTTTTCTTTTAATTAGCCTAAACCACCAACCTTTTACGTCAAACCAATAACATTAAAGCCAATAGATATGAATAGCATAACAAATGATCAGATTAAACATTTTCACATCGACAGCCTGGACCCGATACATTTGATCATAACCTAAAACCATTCAGTGTTATCAGATTTGAAGCTTAAGATCACTCGCTAGGTATCCCCCCGCAGAAGGTGTAGAAAACTTTGGGAATAATGAAATACAATAAGTCCTGCAAAATGAGATTGTATCTTCCATAATTCCAATTTTAAAAAGAGAAGATAAGTAGCTGACAGTCCACACACACAAACACAGCATTACCTAAATAGATTATTTTTGTATCAGTAATGCCTCTGGGATTCATCCTAATGTTGTTTTCCTATCTGCTCGGATCATTTATTTTCATTCTGCTAAAACATCTGTGATTGATGGGGGCGATATTTGCATCACTTTCTGTCACATTCATCATAATATCTCTGCATGAGACTTTGTCAATGAAAGCCATTTCTCTCGGTTATGACACCTGTTACCGGTGTCACAAACCTCATATTTTCCAGAGAGGCCACCTGCCCAGCACCGTTAATGGCTAACAGAACTTTCCAGCATGAGCCGCTCAGCCGGAGACAGCAGCCCACGCTCGCTCGCTCTCGTTAGCTGCAGCTCAGGCCTGGGAAAACATCCTAATTGTTCATTAAAGCGTCCACATTCTTCAAGGATCCTTCAGGACGCCAGCTACTAATTGGCGGCCATTTATTCAGCAGATTTTTTCTCCGACGGCTGGCGGTGCCGAGCAGAGGTGGGTTCCCGGCTCGCAGCCATGGCGACAGATGACAGAGGGAGGACATGCTTTCCATGACAAATGCGTAAGCCTGGCAATCTGCGTCATACTGCTGTTTGATCGCACCAAAATGTGCATGTGGCTCCCAGTGATTGTCTGGTTTTGGGCGCAGGGTGCCGGGGGTTTGTCTCTCACCATGGATGCTCCAGAGCCTGGTCACAGACGAACCTCTTCTCCGGGTCCTTCTCCATCAGGGAGCTGATGAAGTCTTTGGCTGAGGAGCGACATGACAGGGTCAAAAACATGTAGAGCTGAAAACATGTTTTTTCCAACTTCTGAACATAACAATGCATTTTAGTAGTGATTTTAGGATAAAAGAGATGAAACACATACTTAATATCAGTTTGTTTACTTTAGATTTGAAATAGGAACCAGCACATGTTACAGACATTATTCTGAGTTTCCTTAAAATGTCCCTTAAAGAAAACTGTTATTCAACTTAAGAAATTATTAATTAACTTTTGTAAACAATAGTCCCTATATTTCTTGAAGCTGAATACATACAACGTACACCTATTTAAACTTTTAAAAGAAATATAAATAATTAAATCTTGTTAAACACACATACTATGTTACAAAATATTGATATGATAGGGATTAGATAAATTATTAAAATTTGTGTCAAGACCCAAATTGGATGACATCTGTTCCTTTATTGAGAAATGTACAAAAAGGACGGGACCTGACAAATAAAATGTTACTTCTTAAAATGTAAAAACACAGTGTATGCACATAGAGAGAGAGAGAGAGACACTTGGCATCTCACCAGAGTCTGATATGTCATCCCAGTACGGAGCGTCAAACTCGTAGTCTGCTTTGAGAATCTGCTCAAAGAGCTTCGAATCGTTCTCGTCGTAGAAAGGAGGATAACCACACAGCCTGGGAGAAAGAAGATGGAGGATTACACAACAACAGTCTGCGTGAGTGCCGTCATCAAGCTGATGTTAGAAACTTTAACCCAATTCTAAAAAGGATTAGCTGTGGCCTAATCGCATTCACTGGCATTTTGCTTTTTCATTTGGCATCCAACAGGAGACGGTTCAGGGAGGTCACAGAGAGCGAGGCTAGGGACAAAAGCAGTCCATTATTATATGATGGGGGGAAATAATGCCAAATCTACTAAGTAAATTCCTTTCGTATATTTAAATTGTGATCAATATTGTTCATTAGTCTACATTATTCCATAACAACCACCTGGCGGAAGCTGACTACAGAAACACTGCATCAATTAACATTTCCTCACACCTATTGAATGGTTAACGACATCAGGGATTTTCACTTTTCTAACGAACAACACCATTTAATTCATTTAACAGCTTCAAGCAAAACACTTTCCACTGTAAACTTTACAGTCTCTTTAAAATAGTAGCCAGAGCAAATGGTGTATCTATTAGAATCTGAATTTATTTCAGGTTTAATGGTTTCAGCCTCTTTTGGGTATAGTCTTAAAGTTAACACGTTTTTGGGAGGGGACCTTTTATTTTATATTTATTGGTGTGTTTAGTATATCCATTTAGCTGCTATGTTCCTCTTTTAATGACTTTATCAAACTGTTGGTAATTCAATCACTTCACCACAGACTAAAATATGTAAACTATCAGATGAAATGTTTCTGCAGACTTTTGAGAAACCCAGAGGATGAATCCTAATGAATATGGAGATTGTTTGACTTTTGATTTAGCGCCAGCACGAGATTCGTGATTCTGTTTTGTAGTGAAATATCTCATACACATAGGGCTGTTTTCTTCTAAATGAATACATAGATGACTAAAATATATGAATCTATTTGATGAGAATAATTAATCGACGGGGCTGTAAACATATTCATGCTAGCATGCTAACGTGAGGATTTCACAGAGACAGCATTTCTGAAGACTCTAGTTTTTTTTATTCTAACCGTGTTATTGATTTTATGTTCTCTGACATTGTTTTTTTTAAATATAACCTACGAAATGAATAAAACATAGCGAAAGATATATAAAAGCATGATTGTGTCCATGCTAACGTGAGAATTGTGCCTAAGTAGCCTATGTAGCCTATGTAGCATTGTCTGTAGGTTTAACTTTGCCCCCTATCTTGGTATGGACACATTGTATAAAGAGGGTTTTAATCTCAATGATTTTGCCGCTTGTTATTCATGGGCTTCCCTATGTAAATAAATGTTAACAAATACATGATAATAAAGCTAGGAAACACACAATTCAGTTCAGTTAATAATCATCTATTTGAACATGAGCACTTACAGAATATAAGCGATGACCCCAATGGACCAGCAGTCCACTGCTTTACTGTACGGCTTCTGAGCTAAAACTTCAGGAGCTGCGACAAGAAAAAGTTTCAAAAGATGATCAGATATTCAGACATCTAGTGAAATAATGCAGACAGTTTTTTGAACATTCATCATGACAGAGGGGGGGGGAGAAGAATGTAAATGTTTGTTGTTTTCCTGCAGCAGATGGCTAAGGTCAACCTGTGGCTACTGCCTGATCAGATTAGATCAGGCTTAGCCGTCTGGTGGATCTAATTATCTCTGGGAAGTTTCCAGAGATCAGAGGGCGTCCTCACCCACGTATCCTGGAGTCCCGCAGGCCGTGGCCATCACGTCACCTGTTCCCTCCATCTTCGACAGGCCGAAGTCACTGATCATGATCTTTGACTCATCGTGGGGGCTGAAGTACAGCAGGTTCTCCGGCTGCAAATAAACAGGAAAGAGTTTTAAGAAATGTGTCTGTGAAACCAATCATACATGAGTGGATGGACTTAGTTTATCAATCAATTTATCAATAGAAAACAAATTGCTCAGAGGCCATGACTCAACTATATGTATTGATTTTAAACAGCATAAATACAATTTAAAATATAGTTTTATTTTTCCTACAAGGGCAGAACCATTATGGGTTGTTGATATAATAAACATCTATGGAATGTATATATTTCGTTGTTTATTTAAAAAGGGCCCATGTCATGCTTTTCTGGTTATTACCAGTCCCCTTGTGTGTTATTAAGGTTTTTATGCATGTAAAGGGTCTGCAGAGTCAGAAACCCTCAAAGTACACCCTGTAGCGAGTAACTCTAACACAGAAAAGACCTGTCTATGCTGCCCCAAAACGCCTCGTTGGAGATTTCTCTTTTTCCATTTGTTTCTTCCGGGAACCGCATGACGTCATGCGGTTCAAAATGGACCAATCCGCGGAGCTCCTCACACACCAGAACATTGACTTGCATAGAGCTCCTTGGTTGGTAATAGACGAGTTGGGATCGCGGAGAAATGCTCTCCGCAGACCCATTCTCACAGCGTTTAGAAACCTTTTTCTTACTCAATATCAAGCCACACTTATTGTTTTGACTTCGGCTGTGAGTGTTTGTGTGTGTGCTCAGGATGAGTTTCACGCTGTCTCGCTGTATCGCCGACCCGGAAACCACACCAGTAAGCCAGCTCACTGAGCAGCAAGCCTCGCAACGTCCCGACCAATCAGAGCACACTGGGCTCACAGGGAGGGGGGGGGCAGGAGCTCCAACAAGCCGTTTAGGACAGAGTGAATAAACATACTATACAGAGATGCTGTATGAGAAACAAATGTGAGTTTGGAAAATTGCACAATAAATCTATTTTTAGTATACCTCAACAACAGAATTATGACCAGTAGAAATGGCCATGACATGGGATCTTTAAGATAGCCGTCCTCAAGCTTTTTATGCTGCTGCAACACAAACATTTCCCAAATTGGGATCAATACAGTTCTATTTTTTTTTTTTTTGCTTTAAACTTTATATTCCAAGTATGTTTTGAGAGGGGATTGGACATATGTATTGTACTTGAAATGCATTTGGCCGATGTTTTATTTCTCCAATTTGACTTACAATAAGTACAATCAACTATAAGGATACAAATTCAAAAAAGCAAGAATCCTGCAAGCACATTAGTTTCTAAACAGCCAAATCATTTTAGTATATTCCATAGATTTTAATGGCCAAGGAGAATTTGAATATACCCCTTTAGTTTATCTGTGGTCTTTAGAAGAATACCAAATAAAAAGTAGTTGAGAATATATTGTGTGTGTTCATGGGACCTCATGCACAGTCGGTATGGATTAATTTCAGTCATCCAGGCAGTACCATATCATGAAATATGAAACTAAATCCCCCGGATTTATCATTTAAGAAGCGGGGGAGTTTTACGGTTCAACCAAGAGGCTTCATCACTTTCAGCGAGAAGGAAAATCCCCGACATTTAACCTCCGTGGGTGATGCCTCGTGAAGCTCTCACATAATATCACCCCTCAAAGGTTAAATTGAAGGGATTTCCCTCTCACTACGACTGAAGGGTCCTCCTCGATGAGTGGCAAAACATTTCCAGCTCCTGTAGTAGATTTCATGAGGACCTATGTTTAACTATAAATAAAAGACCCTGCTATACCTTCAAGTCTCTGTGCACGATGCCCATATTGTGCAGGTAGTTGACTGCATCCAAAACCTGTCGAATGAGGCGACTGGCGTCCATCTCTGTGTAGAAGCCTTTCTCTACGATGCGGTCGAACAGCTCGCCTCCAGACACCCTGTCAGCACAAGAGACAGGTTTATTTCATACAACATACTTTTAACTGGTATGACCATTGTAATATTATTATTTTAATAACAAATTATTGACTTCCTCTTAAAGGCGTGAGTGTTTTGCCATGTGTAGCTGCCAGGTTAACCTACATATTACAACCCAATACATCTGCAGTCAAAATTATATGTTGATGCCCATTTGGCTCTCTTTTCAGTCCCCTTTAAAATACAATGTATTCTTACTTCTTTACTTAACCCTTGATCCTGCACCAAAGTTTCCTGATTCAGCCTTAAACATTTAAGGTAACAGCCTCCTTGTTGGAATAAAACCAGTGAGTTTTTTCTGTGATAACATTTCATTTCCCAAACCTGCATTTCTGGGGTAAATTGTTGGATTGCAGCACTTGAAATCTGAATGAAAATTATAAGTGGGAAACCCAATGAGACAAATATAAAAAAAATGCCTTGTTCAGTTCATTACCAGAATTAAAATGGATGATTAAGCGTAATTGTCATTTAACTGCGGTTGTTCAAACAGTGTGTTTAAATCAGTCGGTGGTGATTATATACACTTTACTTTTCCAAATGCACTTTCATCATGTGTCATCGTTACTTTTGACCCTTTGTCACATTATGTAACTTTGAAGTGCTTGCAACGGATGTGCCAGCCATTTCATCTAAACTACTTTAAAGCGCATTAACAAAAAGGCAAAGACACAAGTGACTCATTAAGTTGAGAAATAATTAGGGGAATATGCCTGTGGATACAATGCCACATCACACACCTTTCAGAGGCACAAGGAGGGCAGATAATGGCTGCCTGAATTGCTGGTACATTAGTCACAAACACTGTGAAATGATGTGGTGAGGGGAAAGGTCTCTGAAATCATGACGATATATGGCACACAGGAAAGCAGCCCAGAGGTTTTCACACATTAACTTTCACAAACACTGACCGAAAAGCATTTCACAAGATAATTGCAACACTTTAAACTACATCCTGGCAATTTGTGAAAGCCTCAACAAAAGCTAATGCTTGGAATGTATGATCTTAAAAAGGTAATATGCTTATTCCCTTTGACGCTGTGTATAAAACAATATGACATCCACTCTAATGTCAGTTTCCAATATTACTGTTTCTGTCCATGTTTTTATTTGAACATGTTCATATTTCCTTCAAATAATCATTTGTTACGTCTGGCTATCTGGATAACAACCTTTTGCATCATGCATCAAATGATTTTACACCCAGATGGCTAGAGGAGCCTTTGAGGATCCTGGAAATACCTTCAGAGATTTTAAATGACCTTTTGAGTTATTTGCACAGATTATGGGTTTATTTTTTTCAAAACAGGTGCTTAGCTCAGTGACTCGAATATAATGATCAAATAATCATACTGGACAGGAACGAAGGGGGCTTACTGCTCCACACAGACAGATATGAGAGTGGTATCAATCTTCTTATCTAACCCTCGGACAAACCTATCCCTCATATCATCTCACTCATCTTTACAGCCTCGCTGCATTCAATGGAAAATGGGTATGGAAAAAAAAGGGCCTTAGGTACATTAGAGACACCTATTCCTAAAAAACCTAGACATTATCAACCCTGGAGACAAAGACCTAAACGGACGATGTGATGGGTTGTTCTACTTACAGCTGCATGATGAGGTACAGGTGGTTCGAACTCTCGTAGATATCCTCCAGCGCCACGATATTCTCATGCTTTATCCTGCAGAGGGAGGACAAAGAAATGCACATTGCTAGCTGTCAGCCTCTGTTCATTTCAGCACAGTCCATTAATGAGGTGCAATTAGACTTTTCTTTTGCTAAAATGATGCCCTGCCAACCGAAAACGAACATTTTGTTGCTATTCGTTCGCAGCACTTTGTCTGTAATTACACTCGGTGTGTTTGTGCACGTGTTTAAAACAAAGTGTAGCATTCCCCCAGGGGAGAAAGCTTGTGTGTGTGTGATGGAGAGCAGGGGGGCGAGGGGAGGAGGGGAGGTGAGGTGAGGCGGGGGGGAGGGAGGGATTCTACATGCATGCATGCTACATGACTCATGAAGCGGCAACCCCCGTCAGCAGGAGCACCTGAAGGAAATAATAATACAGGGGGGGGATCAAGATTCTGGGAGTGTGTCCAGGCAACCAAACATACAAGGTTTTTATAAAACCTCTGTGAGGAAATATGCAGATGACAGAGCGTGTTCACAAGGGCAGGTGGATGAAAAGGAAAAAGTGGGGGAGGAAAAGGAGGAGGTGGAGGAGGAGGAGGGGAAGGAGGAGGAGGAGGAGGAGGAGGAGGAGGAGGGGAGGCTGAAAGGACTAAACAACCTTCAACAACTTCCTTTTCAATACCAAGTCCAGAATGAAAATGAGGTGTGCAGTTTGTCAAACTGAGTCGTGTAAAAAGGATTGAAGAGAGGGATGAGGAATCCAAACAGGGTGGAAGTCAAAGGATAGCAACTGTAACCAGGCAACTACACCCAACAACTGGCGTGCTCGTTTCAACAGTAGCTGCATCTCACTTTGGTTAAATGGATTCCTTGCGTCCCTCACTTGCGTCGTTTCCCTGCGACTAGTCCCTCCCACCAGGGAAGCATGGAGAGACGCAAGGAAACCACGAGAAGCAGGGAAATGAGTTTTAAGAGCAATGGGACGTTGTTTCCTCCGGAGCCTCACGTGAAGCGACGTTCGTTTGTGATGACGCCGCACAGCTGATCGTTTGACAGCAGCCAGATCAGTGCATGCGCTGCATTCTCCAATCAATGAGCGATATACAGTAAGGGGGCGGGGCGAGTGTCTGAGGATTTCACCGGAGGATGGTCTGGTGGTTCCTCGATTATCACTCCTCGATCCTCCGGCAAAAAAAAAGACCACTGGGACGGTACTCAAGATGGCGCAGACAAATCTACTTCCAGTGAGACAGAGCCAGAGGAACAAGGAAATAAAAAATAAGAGAAGTGAGACGCACCCAGTGAGTGATAACCGAGCTCCTCTGAGGGATTACCCATCAGGCCCTGCAGGAGGATCGCCTGGTGTCAGTGCAATCCTATCATACAAGTTTACACTGTGAAGACCCAAAATGGTGGATATTTTATATTTTTCCGTTGCTTTTTTCAATATCAATAATCAGACCAGAGTATACAAATTCAAAACAGCAAGATCATTTTTTTGCTCTTATTGCCTTTAAAATGTTATAGCTTAAAGGTGGGGTAGGTAATTTTGGAGAAACCAGCTCGAGTGCGCTAGAATTTGAAAATACACAACCAGAACAAATCTGCCGCTTCCTTACAGAGCCCCTCCTCCAACACACACGAATGTGCACATGACCAATGAGGGCACGAGATAAGTTTGTGCACAGATGGAAGGCTGACAGGCAGGTAGGCCATCCAGTTATTTTAGCCGGGCCGGCTCAGATGATTGGTCGTGCTTTTTACAGCGCTACGGCACTGACATTTTTTTATGGATTTTTTGTCAAAGCACTTCAGATATTCATTGCTATCGGGAAGTTAAGAGCATTCCTTGGAATATAACAAAAAGTGTATCTCGAGCCGGTTTCTTATCTACCCCACCTTTAAGATAATAAAAGAAGAAGAGACAGAAATGACCTCACTCAACCCTAAAAATTCCTGATTTAGCCTCAAAATTTAAGGTGACCCTGCATTAATGTCCAAAACCCTAAATTAACCACCTTGAAACAGCTCCTTAAAACACTTCGCATTGTCTGAATACATTTGGTAAGTTATTGTTATAATATATTCACCTATTCTTTCCTATTTTTTTGACTGTGAAGCACTTTAATGTGACATAAGTGGTACATTTTCATTGCCTTTAATAATTGTATACCTTAAGACGAGAGAGGAAGAGAGAGACATTTCTCCTTCTCCTGCACTTAAACCTCAGTCCTGCACCATAATTCTCAGATTTAGCCTTAAAATTAAAAAGGTGATTGGTGGTGAGAGCATTAATGTCCAAAACTCTTTAAAAAGCTCCTTGTTTGAATCCAACTCAGAGACTTTTATCGATAAAACAATTTAGGTTAGTTATTGTTATAATATATATTCACTCATTCTTTCTTCTTTGACTGTAAAGCACCTGAAAATGTGACATAACTGGTCACATACTGACTCCTCTGTACTGGAGCTGCATATGCCTCCACCAGGTGATCTTTCAGGGTGGATAGATGTGATTCGACAGGGAAGTCATTTAAGGCCGACAACAGTTGTTAAATAAAGTGATCGGCACCAGCCTCCTGGCTCTGAGTCATCACTCAGACACACACGAGCTTCCCTGAGGACGCCGCGAGGTGCTGACCCTTTCTGAAGTACTGTTCTTCTGCACACTCCCCCACGGCTCACTCAGGCGGTACCTACTTCCTAAGAACGGCGATTTCGTTTTCGATGCTCGTCTCCTTCCCCTTCAGTGCTTTTTTCGGGATGCACTTGATGGCGACCATCTTTCCTGTGGCCTTCTCCCGAGCCATGACCACTTCAGAAAACGCACCGCTGCAAGAGAGACAGAGAAATACGTTAGCACTGCTGGAAGAAGTATTCAGATGCTTTACTTGAGTTAAATTACCCAAACATTTTTGTCAAAATACTTCATTATAAGTAAAAGTCCAATACAATTACTTAAGTAATAGGCACAACAGTATTATCAGCTAAATGCACTTGATGTGTGTATTTAACTACATTTATATGTGTGACATTTCTAGATAATATTGTTGCATCAAGTAATAGAAATGCATTTGTTTGAAAGTAGCTAAAGCTGCTCAAAATGGTACTTAAGTACAGTAGGCCTACTGCTTTACTTCACTGCGTTAGTCCTGCTTTATATGCGGCCTAGTCAATATTGACTCATCGTCAGTGAGTAGATAGACGGCACTCAAGCCAGAGTACACAAACAGCATATTGGGAATATTTACTGAGAACTGCCAGAGTCCCTGACTATGGCCGACAGCCGTCTGTTGGCTTAAGCTCGCTGCTCGTGTGCAGCCAAAAGCACGGCAAACACTTTTAAAACCTCTAAAAAACACCCATTTAGGACGGCAGATAGCGTGTGCTCCTCAGGACCATCTGTCTCCATACATGAGAGCCTTTACAAAACAAATACAGAATTAAGGGAATATTTGCTCAAGCAATCTGTATCTGTTGCTATGATACCAGATCCATTCCACCTTAATAAATCTCGCTGAGCCGGCAGCGTGATTGCTTCCCCCCCCTCATCCTTTTTTGTTTCCATCTTCACAGGCGTTCCTCTCCTCAATGCACCTTTAGAAGAATGTGAGAATGTTTTTAAATAAGGACTGTTTGTTGTTTTCCTCTACTGAACATGAGTTAAAATCAAATATGATCTAAAAAGACACAAATAAGATCCACTCATGAGCTCAGGGCTCTGATGAAGGCTTGTTCGCTGCAGCGCATCAGAAGAAATAAAATCGAAATCTGAGCCTGAGGCTAAAGCCGTGAGATTCTCTGTGTTTTTATAGCTTCCGTCTTCTTTCAATTCATAAATTCTTGATAAACTGCTTACCAAGCCGGGCAATACTTCATTGTGTTATACTCAAATAAATAAAGCTCTGTGGTTTTACATTTTCTTATAATCCTTCTTTCCCCTCAGTGGTTTAAATCTATAATAGTTTAAATAAAAGGTTTTTTTTTTTTATCTTGACACAATACTCACTAAAATGCCATTCAGCCACATATAGCCTACTAAATCATTTTATAAAGTCCATTATTTACAATATTGCACATTTATTTCACATTACACTCTTCGAAATTAAGGTCCATTTATCCATAGTGTTTATATCTTTGTATTGAAGTATCCATTCTAGTGTTCGCTAGTATACATTTCAGTTTGATGTATTTTTCTAGCTAGCTTCATGTTACAAAGGAGCAATCCACTTCTAATCCAGCATCTCTTTAGTAATCTCCTGCCAAAATGAAAAAGGACAAAGCTGGGGATCTCGCTCTCTGACATAAAGGTTTAATTGCAGAAATAACATTGGGATGAAAGCGACGTTGAGAAACACACCTTAAGTGACCTTTAAAAAGCAAGACGGCCAACATCAAAAAGGTCCGTTATGTTCTCATAGTGTAATCAGTTTCTCCCTCCGGGCTCTATCCGCAGCACCACTCGCTGCATTAAATCCCAGCGAGGCCTTCAAATCCACGCTAATCCCTCACCACTCCAGCCTATCACGGGGTGGGGGGGAGGGTCAGTCAGAGCACATAAACACAGACTGCACACAAACACACTACCTGGACACAATGCTGCCCCGGGTGTCATGGCGGGGGCTTTGAGCGTACGCCCTTCTGACTTTGACCTGGTTCTTACATGATGTGGGACAATATGCAAATGGTGTAAGTGAGGAAGTTGGTGCTTTATTTGATGGCGTGTTACAGCTCTATCTTTCCCACCGCAGCTGTTGCCGTGAGGACAATGAGCATCATTTCCATTCAGCGCATGCAACCCATTTCCCCAGCTGTGTGGACATTAGCAGGAAAATAAAATCCTCCACTGTCAAACGCCTCTGTTGCAAGCTTCTTCTTTTTTTCAGAGCATGCTTTCTGCAGCAGGAGACACAGGCTGATGAAAACCACAGGAAGCATGTGAGCACACTGAGACGGCGTTCAGAGAGCGTAGCACTGTCTCTGCCCCCCCCCCTGCTCACCACATTAACAGGCAGCAACATCACTTCCTGTGAATGACAGAATCTCCCTCTGTCAATACACTAAGCTTGAGAAATGGGCTGCGAGCGCTCAATCTATTTATTCCTAATTCACAGGAAAGAGAAGGTGCGATGTCTGTTGGAGACATATGGTGATTGCACTACCCACATGCTTCATTTGCACATACACACAAAGATACAGTAACACCTCCACACACACAACCAAAGTGGTACAACCTGGCACCTTAGGCAGTTTCTCCTCTGTAAACTGGAGGTGCGTATGGCTTTACCAGGTGAGTAACTGGAGGTGGATAGATGGGATTCGACAGGGAAGTAATTTAAGCCCGACAACAGTTGTTAAATAAAGTGAGCCGCACCTGCCTCCTCGGTGTCAGTGTGTTGAAAATGTTCACACAAAATGCCAAACAATTTCTGAATCCAGCTTTTGAAAATGGGACAATTTGTTGATTATTTTTGTCCTATATGGTAGTAAATTGGTTGGGAAAACTAGAAAATAAGAAGATGCCCCTTTGCCCGTTATACAATACTACTAAAACACTTAAATGGTGCAACTAAATAATGGTTAGTTGCAACAACCGATGTGACAACCAGCACTTAATTAATCTCTGGGATAATCCAGCTGTTGGAGATGAGCGTTATGTGATGAGAGCAATCCTCTATTTGAAGTGAACCCTTTATTGAAACTCATCTCAATCTATCCTGAGAGATAACTACGAGCCAAACATGTTGTTCTGCCCCAGCAGTACTGAGTCACTGGGATGAATAATAATATTAGAATTTTAAATTCTTCCTAGAGACACTGAGCCACCTCTTGTGTGACAGTATGAGAGGGTGTGTGTGTGTGTGTGTGTGTGTGTGTGTGTGTGTGTGTGTGTGTGTGTGTGTGTGTGTGTGTGTGTGTGTGTGTGTGTGTGTGTGTGTGTGTGTGTGTGTGAATCAAGGTTGACTAATGTGAAATGTGAATGTGGGCTGTGCTCTGTGTGAAACTGATGCCTCAGATGCAAAGTGAAGCCATGCATCAAACATCAGAAACTTTCCCGGGCTGTGACCTCAGCTGGTTGTCCTTTAAAGATCAAGAAAAGAAAGCGTCACTGTTAATGTTAGAGGGTTTTTCTTTTCTTTTTCGAAATGGAGGGGGTCTCGACGTCTGGCTTATTAACAGTGGCTGTACTGTGTCACTGCTGAGTAATCACCCAGAATCATCTTGTGTAAGATGCATTACAGCGAACCGTTACGCAACACATGGGATGGAAAAAGCACGCCTGATAATCCAGGTGAAGGGATCAGCAGAGTGACCTTCTGCGTTCGATGTCCAGCGAAGACATGACAGATGATGTAATATAAGCAAGCAAGACTGACAGTGGATAATTACTGATTCTCCTAAGCATAAGAACTGTACATGCATATAAAACAGATGTCATCAGACTCATGAACAATAAACATCCTGTAATTGTAGCTAAGATCTAGGGCGACACAATATAAAGTTATATAGAAAATTGCATTTTAAAAAAGGTCATTATAATTCATTTCATTGGTCCCTGTTGTGTTCAGTTCAATTGGTTCACTTAAGGCTTAAGCAGTACTGTATATTTATCATGGTTATCGCCAGATTGCAGCTTTCAGACTTGTTAATAGAAGTTATATTGGCAGCAGATCTACAGTTACAACAAGCACTCCTTATTTTTAACAGCACCATCTGTTCAGCTCTGATATGCTACTCTGTCGACTCAGAGTTTTCCAAAATGCAGAGTCAGCTGGACAAACTACGGGAAAATAACAATGTTTCCAACCAACAGGCACTATGTTTATTAACATATCATCGTCCAGTACACCAGTACTGGACGATGTATATCTCTCTTTATAATAGCTTTTTGTGTGTGCTGTGAATAATCTTTTTAAGAAAGGGCAGTAGTTGAAGTTTAAAAAAACAGTTAATAGGTATGTTTAATATTAGTGACAGAACAATGTAAATATGCTGTTGATAGTTAGGCTAATAATGGGTTTTAAGGCCAATTCCAAAGTTTAAAATACAAATTAAGTTGATGTCTTAAATTGTCTGGTTTTGTCAGTGTAAAATCCCACAAATGTTACATTTAAATTATAGAAAACAGAGTAAAGTAGACAGTTCCATTTTTTAAAGACTGAAAACTACATTTTTGCATAAAAGATTACTTAATCAATTATTAAAATAGTTGGCAAATGTGATTCTGTCGATCGACTTGCATTGATCGATTGATCATTGCAAATATACTTGAATATGAAAATAATTCTTAGAATATTTGTTAACCCTTGGAAGTAAATGTAGGAGAGAGGAAGAAGCACAAGCTGCATAAAATGGTACGACTCAAGTAAAGTACAAACACCTCAAATCACCTCAAGTTACTTTCTATCGCTGCAGAGCTGACGTCATCAGATCAGTTTGGCTTCTCATCGCTGCCTGCCAGACTAACCACCACTAGTTTATGGGATGCCAGGTAGTAAACAGAACTGATCTGATGCTGCAAATGAAATAAAACTCCAATAATATGATTTGAATGAAACCCAGAGGCTCTCACAGTCCAAACGACCCAAAACACACTGACTGCACCTGAGGCTGCTTTCCAGGAATCTGCAATTCAGACTGATGGTTAGTTTACAGCATGATAACGGGTAATGGGACTCATAAAACAACTCAAAATGAAAACACATCTATCGATGGAAAATGTTTGGGAAAGAAACTGAGTGTGGTCGGAGAGAGGATGAAATATTTAAATAAGACCTAAATAATATCCCTGTCAATATAAATGGATTTTGTGAAACGAGACTAGATATCAG